TGCAGTGCCTTTATCACTGCTTAAATACTATGAAATATGTTGCGTGCCTTATTCTGTGTAAGAAGCCACATCATCTCACAGAAGGATTTATTTCAAACACTCGACTGATGTTATGAAGTGAGTTTGGAGTAAAAATATGTTATTAAATGTGGTATTTTCACATGCTTTCAGATGGAGCAGCATTTACTTCACAGAGCCGTGGTTTACCTACTCAAAGTTGATCTAGACAAGTACATGGAAACTATCTAAAGTTCTGTTAATCCTAAAGCAGTGAAAACTACATCACGAGTCTATATTCATCGTATTTGTCCTCTTAAGATGTAAATGTATTACTTTTTTTTTTTGTTGTTAACCTGGAAACACATCCCTTACGCTAACAAAATGCGCATGACAATCGTATTCGATTAATCGTGCAGCCCTATGATAAAGGTTTGATTTTGGCATTGGTGGGGACATAATGGAAGACAAAAGACCAAAATTATTGCCACTGACAATTTAGTAGTCGCTGGACATTGGTACGGTCTGACTGGATACCGTCTGACTTTGGAAGCTATAGTTCTCTTTTTTCTTAAATATGAAGAGGTCAAACAACAGATTAATGAGTTGATTCAAATTTCACACACACACACACACACACACACACATTATACAGCTTGGAAGAGCCAGGACATTTTTAAATATAACTGCGATTGTGTTCGTCTGAAGAGGAATGTCAGATACGCCTAGGATGCCCTGAGGGTGAGTAAATCATGGGCTAATTTTCATTTTTGGGTGAACTATCCCTTTAACAAAAAAAAAGAAGCCCAAAGTCGAGTATTATAAGCAGACTTCGCAACTCTGGAATGAACGCAGCGCTGAAAAGGGGCGGAGCTACAGAAGGTCTGTACGGTAGGAGGCGCTATTACACATATTTTGAAAGAGGACTGAATCCCCGGACCAAAACACGGCAAAGAAGCAGAAACAAGACATGGCGTATAAATGCACATATAAAACTAACGCGATTGTTATTTCTAATAGAGCAAAAAGAAATACTTTACAAAATGATTCACAGATGTTATCCTGTAAATGCAGCTGTTAGCAGATATATTCAGTGTTTGTGATAAATGTACCTTTTGTAACATATCAGTTGAATATGTTGAACATTTATTGTTCTATTGTACGATTATTGAACTGTTATTTTTCTACATTCTTTTTTTCTATTTCATTTTGGGTTGACTTTAAAATAGACATGACATAAAAAAAAATTAAACAAAGCCCTTAATTTAGAACCTCATGATATTTTACATTGTTTTCAAAACCCATATTTTTCTGAAAAACAAAAGTACATTATTAATCTGTTAATTATTTTAGCAAAGTTTTATACTCATAAGTCAAAAATAATTCAAAAGAAACCATCATATTACCTTTTGTAACACTGATCTTAAAATATATTTTGAAACCCTTTCTAAAATGAGATCACAAAATAAAAAGCTTATAAAACAATAACAATTCTAAAGCTTTTCAAATGTATGTAACTGCCCTAATATTATACAGCACTTTTTTATGCTAACATTTTTTGTTGTTTATGTTCATTTGATGTTTTTTGTTGTTGTTTTTATTCTGTTTTACTTTAAACTGTATACAACATTGCCTTATATTTGCATTGCACTTTTTGCCTTGTACTTGTAAAGGAACTAAAAAAAAAGTTTTTATGGTTTGATCATCTTTCTGAATCCGCTCCAGACAACCTTTTATAAAAATGCGATTTTCTCAGATTTTTGTTCAAAATGTTGCCCTTTTTATTAAACTTAACCACATTCAAGTGTTGATAAAAAAAAGAATGCATGAATCTATAATAAAAGTTGTGTTTGTTTAAAGCAGAGGTTCTGTTCTTTTTGACATATTGCATGTTCAGATATTCATGCAACAAAATACTATTCTGGGGGCCATGAGATGTTTGTGAAAATGATCAAAAATGCAGGCGGTGGCTGGCAACTTAAAAAGAGTGACATATGAGGTGACATATCATAAAAATCTGACTTTTCCAGGTTTTAAGTGCTATAACCAGGTCCCCGGTGCATCTACCAACCAAGGAAACGTGAAAAAGATTAACCCAGTAACTTTGTTTTGGGAAGTAGGGATGGGCGATACCACTTATTTTGTTTTCGATACCAAACCGATATTTTTCAAGGCAGTATCGTCAATATCGATACCGATACGATACTTCTGAACTAAACTTTTAAATTATGAAATGTATTAAATTACTAAGAGTAAAATGGGTAATGATAACCACTTAACTTTGTTTAAAACGCATTTTAACATTCAAAACGCCTTAATTGTAACTTATTAGGTTATATTTTTGTTTACACATGGTTCAAATATGTTTTTTGTTTACACATGATTCGAATCTACAAATACTACAGTTGAACTATAGTAAAACCACTCAGTCACTTTAGTAAAACCATGGTTCATTTTCATAAGGGTGACAGGCTGTTGCATGCATAAAATGCAACCTTTTTATTCTGACAGTGTATGATTTATACTAACATTACAGAATAGAACATGATCAATATTATCTTTCAATGTTCAGTTTCAATAAATGTAATTGCACAAACTATGTAGGCTAATTTCAATTTGTTTATTGTGAAATAACTCAAACATATATGTTTTTTTTTTCTGTCCTCTGATAAGCATTGTTCAGGGCTGCCGTTCCCAAAAGCTTTAATGCTTTCTTATGATACTTTTGGGAAACGCAGCCCTGTTTGAATGCACTGTCAGAAGTGAGTGAACGCTCTCAGTGATGGATTGGTTCTGTCTTGCAACATTTGCGTGTGTTCAGATGAGCATGAAAATAGTTCTATCGTACACAATTATTTACTAACATAGGTTATTCGTCCAATTCAATGCATTATTTTTTTGTTAAATAAACAAAATCACTGGTAAATAAAACACACCTTAGTATCGATATTTATTGTTTGAGTATCGATACTTTCGATACTCGCATCACTATCGATATATCGATACTTCGGATCGATACGCCCATCCCTATTGGGAAGCCTTTTTCTGCAAGCGTCTGAGAAAACAAGCGCGTCTGATTTCGCTCCCTTGGTGACGTGGCAAAGGGATCTCATTATAATATTACCGCCCCTTAATCTGTAAGTTTCCACCCACAGCGCCTTCATTTTGATTTCGCAAGCGACGACGGTTTACTAGTCACTGTTTAGAGTCCCAGCTTCAGAGGAGACAACAGAGCAGTGCATTTATTGATTTATTTAGGCTACTGTATATTGCTGCTGACACGCCGATCTAAAATAAACATGTGATTTATTTCCCAGCTGTTTACCTTCACAGACATAACCCACTGTTTTTGTAACTCGTGTGTGTTTTTAACTTGTGTGTGTGTAGTATTTTGAGCTGAAACTTCACAGACACATTCTGGGGACACCAGAGACTTATATTACATATTGCAAAAAGGGGCATGTCTCCTTTAAAGTCAACATGCAGCAGCATTCGCATTTGACTTTCATAACGTGCTGTAATTCCAAGCGAAACAGAATATTCAACAAGCGACTTGATTTTATCCATCAAGAACTGATTGGATCGTGAACAGTGGGCGTTAGATATCAGAAAGGAGCCAGAATGCGAGTTAGTGAGTTTGATTCGGTCCAGCTCCGTGTTGCCGAGCGACGACTGCAAACTCCAGCCTACACAAGTCACACGGTGATGAAGACTCACTGACCGCTGCCTGCATCATCCCAGCCATTCAGGACGGATTTCAAAGACTGCAAACGACAGCCAGCTAGGGCCCATATAAGCCAGACAGCGACAGACAGTTCTTCCAGTCATTTAGGATGAATTTCAAAAGACTATACATCAGCAGCCAGACTGTGAGGGATGCGGTTCTGAACACTACCTGCATCACTCTAACTAAACTAAACTAATCATCCTTACAGTTTAAACACTGAATCATTTATTTATTTAACACGTGGCATTATTAAATATGCTATGTGTGATTTTGCATACACCATCAGTCAAAAGTTTGTAATAATTACGTTTTTTTTTATGTTTTTGAAATAAATCTCTCACGAAGGTTGCATTTATTACAGTAAAAACAGGAATATTGTGAAATATTATTACCATTTAAAATAGCTGTTTTCTATGTGAATATCTGTTAAACTGTAATTTATTACTCCAGTCCTCAGTGTCACATGATCCTTCAGAAATCATTCTAATATGCTGATTTGCTGCAGTATTTGTTGCTTAATATTTTTGTGGAAACTGTGATACATTTTTCCAGGATTCTTTGATGAATAGGAAGTTCAAAGGAACATAAAAAATCTTTTGTAACATTACAAATGTCACTTTTGTTAAATTTAATGCAAACTTTATAAATTGTATTGTTTAAATATTACTTGGCCCACATTTTTAAAATGGTGGAGTGTCCGTTTCCACAAAAATATTGTGCAGCACAACTGTTTTCAACATTGATATTAATCAGAAATGTTTATTGAGCCGCAAATCAGCATATTAGTATGATTTCTGAAGGATCATGTGACACTGAAGACTGCTGAAAATTCAGCTTTGATCACAGGAATTAATTACACATTACAATATATTCACATAGAAAAGTTATTTTAAATAATATTTTACAATATTGCTGTTTTTACTATATTTTTAAAACAAATAAATGCAGCCTTGGTGAACATAAGAGACTCAAATAAATATCAGTAGTGTATGCTAAAAAAAGACTTGGGTCCTCTCAGGGTTTTTCCTTCACCCTAAACATCGTATGGATTTTTTTTTTCTCACAAGAGTCAATTCTGGCTCACTCACTGGGTTAAGACCTTTTATGTAAAGCTGCTTTGAGACATTATGGATTGTGAAAAGTGAAAAATACAAAAATTATTAAACTTGATTGCAGAGGACCCCAACGACGCCCACTTTTTGAAAGATTATTATTCAAACATATAGTTATGTGCTATCGCTACTGCATATAACTACTGTTATTGCCATAACCTTTATTAAATTCACATTACCAGTTGCCAAGATTTCAACAAAAGCCTATAACAATGCCTAACTCGTTATTTGGCTATACACTGATTATTGACCTAGATGTCGTCAGCTGAAAAAGAAAAAATTCAAGTGTGGATCAAATATTTATAAGTAGTAAACCGGGTCAGATTTGATTTCTTGTTGATCTTTTCGTCACATTACAGTAACATGAAGCCGGTCTCTTCTTCCTCTCGATCTGATGAGAGTAGTTTCTCTGAGATGTGATAAAACGGAGAATTCATGTTCTTGTGGATGGTCACTATATAATATAACCCCTCAGTGCACAGACAGATCATGTCTCATGCATGGTCACAGTTTTTTTGTATGTGTGTGCGTTTGGAGCTACTTTAACCCATTGCATGGTAGAAATCATGACAAAAAAAGCACATGATAAAAACAGCGCATTTATATTTTGCATAGGCTTTGATATTAAGTTTATAACAGCCAGACAGTTAACCGTACTGCTACTGTAAGTGTGATGTTCGCTTCTCAACTGCTGTAGATTATTAGGCCATGTGATGGGGGTCAGGATCACATCGGAAAGGTCCACAGACAAACAAGTGAGGTGGTTGAACCGGCGTGAAATCACACATCTGTCATTTCGTCCTCAATGTCGTCTCCCTCTGTTTCACCTTCACCTTCCTCCTCCTCCTCCTCCTCCGATGTCATATCAGCATCATCCATCTGGGACGTGCACCTCTGACAGGAACAGACGAATAAGTAATTCTCCCTGAAAACCAGAGGGGGAAATTATGTAGTTTGTCATTTAAAAAGCCAAAATCCAAAATCACAATTCTGTCACTATTTAAAACAGATTTAGCTTATATTTTCAGTTGAATACACAAAAAAATTAATGTAAGAATTGTTATGCAGCTCTTTTTTTCCCCTAAGTATTTTAAGAGTCATGCAACAGTTTTGTGTAAGAAAAACTAGGTAAGTACACTATAAAAAATGCTGGGTTGTTTCAACCCAACTTTGGGTCAAATATGGACTAACCCAGCCGTTGGGTTAAATTTTTACTTTTAAATTTTAACCCAAAAGTTGGGTCCATATTGGACCCAAAGTTTGGTTGAAACAACCCAGCATTTTTTAGAGTATATACTGTCTCGTTCTGCCTAATTGCTTTAATGGTTGTTTATTTGCCCTGTCAGAAACAAGAACTGTGAAGATTATTCAAAAATAAAATAAGCAAACAAACAATCAGTGCTGGGTAGAAATCGTAGTCCGTTACTGATTCCAAATTACATGACAAAAATTGTAGTCAGTAACGTAATCCATTACATTACACAGTAGAGGTAATATAATCATTTTACTTTTAGATTACTTTTGACCTAACTCGTTTATCACATTGATTTAAATAGGATAATCTTGTACCATATTTATATAAAATACAAAGAGAAAGAAAATATATTCCATTCGTCGTTATTAACAACATGAAGTGCATTAAACATTACATTACGTCAGGGTTTCCCAAACTGGGGTTCACGAAGAAACGAGGTTAATGAAAAGCTAATGATTAAATAAATCATTAAAAATAAGTCATTTTAAAACAACAACAATCAAAATAAAAAACGTACTAAAAAAATTGTAATATTGCATTTGTTTTCCTGCATGTCATGTGACCAGAAAACCGTGAACATGCAAATGTGTTACTTAATTACTAAATTATTACCTTAAAATCTCAGAAGGTACTTCAAGTAAATATATCAGGTGAAAGAGGTTCGGCTGACAAAAAAGTTTGATTAGGAGTATTTTAAAGTGTAATATAATCGAATTAAAAGTACTTAATTTTTGGAATCTATCCAGATTACATGTACTCAGTTACTATCCAGAACAGCAAGTAAGTACATAAATAAATAAAATCCGGTTACACTTTATTTTAAGGTGTCCTTGTTCCAGTGTAATTATACATATGTGACCCTGGAGCACAAAACCAGTCATACGGGTCAATTTTTCGAAATTGAGATTTATACATCATCTGAAAGCTGAATAAATAAGCTTTTATTTTGAAGTTTGTTAGGATAGGACAATATTTGGCCGAGATACAACTATTTGAAAATCTGGAATCTGAGGGTTCAAAAAAATCTAAATATTGAGAAAATCATCTTTAAAGTTGTCCAAATGAAGTTCTTAGCGATGCATATTACTAATCAGAAATTAAGTTTTGATATATTCACAGTAGGAAATGTACAAAATATCTTCAAGGAACATGATCTTTACTTAATATCCTAATGATTTTTGGCATAAAAGAAAAATCGATCATTTTGACCCATACAATGTATTGTTGGCTATTGCTACAAATATACCCCAGCGACTTAAGACTGCTTTTGTGCTCCAGGGTCACATATGAGCACTGAGTAATATTAATTAACTACATGCACTTACTACATGGTTAGGGTTAGGGTTACTTGCATGTAATTATTGCATAATTAATTGTTATTATAACAGTAAGTACATGTAACATATGTAACAAGGACACCTTAAAATAAAGTGCTACCTGAAATCCTAATACAAGGGTTTGAATGCTGAATATTAAAAATGTCAGCATCATTAATCTTTCACACTCAAGTGTTCGGTCCATTAGGGCTTCCAATCTACACTTATTCCATAACAAGATAAATCATATCCATCAGATCCAAGGGGGGTTCGTCTCTGATCTCGACTTCACATCCACGAAGATCGGCGATTCTTCTCAAGGTGAAGTCAGGCTTTTCACAGGAATAAAGTGAATATAGATTAAGTGGGGTTTCCGAGCAAACCCTCATTGGTCATCATAGCTGCTGTGATTGACAGGTAAGTGATCAATAGTGGAGCAGGGCCCCAGCAGCAAGCCAGCGGAGGGCCCCTGTGGTTATCCAGGCCCAGAGCTGCTGCCAGGGAACAAGGCCATTGATCCTCTCTGGAGGTAGACTCAGCTGTTTCACACAGAATGCTTAAACAAGGGATTGCATTGGTTTACCTCAAGATCTTGTGCCGGCTATGACGACTCCTGTCTCGCTGGCAGCAGTCCAGGTAGCTGATACAGATCTCCTGCAGAGAGGAGGAGAGAAATGCATGGGACAATCAACAATGAAGCAATTCCGTTCTCAATTCTTTCACAGTTACATGATGAATTGAGGGAATTGAGCTGTAGAGAAATAATCGGCTTTCTGTTTTATAATTTGGCCAGAATCATGAAAGCACTCTGCGGGTCTGACGGCTTTCATGGTCTTACTTCTTTACTTACTTCAGCATTTTTCTCAAAGTCAGTGAACATTTCATTTTTCCAGATGCTCACCAACAGAGCAAAATTTAAATCATTATTCATACTATTAATTTATTCTTGTTCTGTCTGGAGCCCGGCAGACACCTCGTACACAATCACTGTATGGAAACATACTCGCGTTCAAAAGTTCGGGGTTTGTACGATTTATGTTTCTGAAAGAAGTCCCTTATGCATTTAAAAATACAGTAAAATTGTGCAATACTATTACAATTCAGAATAGCTGTGAATATACACTACCGGTCAACAGTTTGGGATCAGAACGATTTTTTATGTTTTTACAGGAGTTTCTTCTGCTCATCAAGGCTGCATTTATTTGATAAAAAATACAGGAAAAAATGCAATATTGTGAAATATTATTATGATGTAAAATAAAGTTTTTCTATTTTAATATACATTAAAATATATGCGCAGCTGAATTTTCAGCATCATTACTCCAGTCTTCAGTGTCACATGATCTTCAGAAATCATTCTAATATGCCGATTTGCTGCTTAAGAAACATTTCTGATTATTATCAGTGTTGAAAACAGCTGTGCTGCTTTATATTTTTCTGGAAACTGTGATACATTTTATTTTTCAGGATTCACAGATGAATAGAAAGTTCAAAAGAACAGCATGTATTTGCAATAGAAATCTTTCACAAAATTATGTCTTTACTCTCACTTTCCATCAATTTAATGCTTTCTCAGTAAATATAAATTAGTGTTTCAACTTTTGAATGGTAGAGCATCTACGTTTGTTTCCCAAAATTTTAACATTTTTCCCCATTTAATTCTACTTCCTTGCAATTCCACATCCTGTTTGCTACCTCACCTCAAATCAAATTCAGGAACCAAATTGGAATTTAAAAAGCATTTCTCAATTCAGTTCAGATTGACACACAACTCTGCAAAACATAAGAATAAATGGTCACTGTGCAACAAATCTGGCATTAGGTAACCTTATAAAAATTCATAACCCTCTCTTTCTTAACTACAATGTGAATTCGGCGCTGAAAGCCATTACAAATTCACAAAAAGCTGCCATGCACTGGCTAATATGATTCAGATAAACAAACCTATTAAAAAAATAAGTCTGTGCAACATGAACAGTAGCGCTATGAATGCAGGCCTTTTCAATCTATCAGACAAACAGCCAAAACTGCTCCAACCTCCAGAGTCTAGACTGTAATTGCTAGCAACAATGAAACACTCAAGGCTTTAGAATATTATCCAACATGCTCGTCTGACCTCTCCGGGGCTGATGTCGCTGAGGGCGCTGAGGTGGAGGAGGAAGTTGTTGTCGGGGAAAGACGCCTCTGCATTGGGAACGCAGCTGTGGTTACCTGTGCATCACAGAAAACCAGCATAAATCTTCACAATCACCAGGCCTCATTTGTGACCCTGGACCACAAAACCAGTCATAAGGGTCAATTTTTCAAAATTGAGATTTGTGCATAACCTGAAAGCTGAATAAATAAGCTTTCCACTGATGTATGGTTTGTTAGGATAGGACAATATTTGGCCGAGATACAACTATTTGAAAATCTGGAATCTGAGGGTGCAAAAATATTGAGAAAATCATCTTTAAAGTTGTCCGAATGAAGTTCTTAGCAATGCATATTACTAATCAAAAATTAAGTTTTGATATATTTACGGTAGGTAATTTACAAAATATCTTCATGGAACATGATTTTTACTTAATATCCTAATGATTTTTGGCATAAAAGAAAAATCGATAATCTTGACCCATACAATGTTTTTTTGACTATTGCTACATATTTGTGAGCCTGGAGCACAAAACCAGTCTTAAGTCACTGGAGTATATTTGTAGCAATAGCCAAAAATACATTGTATGGGTCAAGATTATCGATTTTTCTTTTATGCCAAAAATCATTAGGATATTAAGTAAAGATCATGTTCCATGAAGATATTTTGTAAATTTCCTACCGTAAATATATCAAAACTTAATTTTTGATTAGTAATATGCATTGCTAAGAACTTCATTTGGACAACTTTAAAGACGATTTTCTCAATATTTTGATTTTTTTGCACCCTCAGATTCCAGATTTTCAAATAGTTGTATCTCGGCCAAATATTGTCCTATCCTAACAAACCATACATCACTAGAAATATTATTTATTCAGCTTCCAGATGATGTATAAATCTCAATTTTAAAAAATTGACCCTTAAGACTGGTTTTGTGCTCCAGGCTCACATTTGTTAAGCTGACCTGATTTTCGCGCCTCAAAGTCAGCTTGCGTGTAAAATGAAAATATCACAGCTGTGCAAACTGAAAGACGTGCCAATACGAATAAAGATGGTTCTCACAAGAGCTTTGCAGCAGGAAAAGTCCAGAGCCCTCGCAGTTGAGGAAATCGCCGGTTTCTGCAAAAGAAAACGGTCTTTCATCTCTTGGACTTATTTCACACTTCTGCACAAAACAATCATATTTTACACAGATCGATGGCCGTCTAAGTGGTAAAATGTGTGTCTCAGTCTCAGGCTCGAGGAGCCAGATGTCAAATGCAGAGATGGATTCAGTCGTGGCAGGTATACAGATCAATGTGTGAGGGGCCGAGCTCTATGAACAGGTGGGAGTCTGTGAAAAATGACCTTTGTCGATGTCCTTGTACAGCTGGTCGATGAAAGCATCCAGTTGCTCCCTCTGCTGGCTGGGAAGCTCCAGCGCGTCGCACGCATGAACCCACTGACTCAGAGAACTACAGAGAAATATTGTTTGACTGCACACTTGTCTATGGTAAAAAAAATAAATAATAAAGTTTGCATTGAGTGGATATTACCTGGTGCCAATACCCTGACCGTTGGTCCCGACAAGTGAAAATAGAGAGCGAAACCCCTCTGGGGTGAACCACTATCACAAAGAACAGACTCAGTTCTCATTTACACTCTATTACAATCTTCAGGCATCACATGGGCAAAAAGCAGTGATATATCAACTAGTATTTAACCAGATTCAAGTCTATTTGACCAATTAACAGGTGTTAACTCCCCCTAGTGTCAGTTACCGGTATCAATACATTTTCTTTTTTTCAGATATTGTATTTAAGAAAATAAACACTAGCCTTCAAAATTTGGGTTCTGTAAGATTTTTTTGGTAACACTTTACAATAAGGTCCCATTAGTTAATGCATTAACTAACAACGAACAAGACATTTGTTACTATATTTATTAATCTTAGTTAACATTATTTAATAAAAATGCAACTGTTCACTGTTCGTTCATGTTAGCTCAGGTCCATTAAATAATAGGGTAACACTTTAGTTTAGGGATCAGTTCTCACTATTAACTATGCATGCATATTACTAGCATACTGGCTGTTTATTAATACTTATAAAGCACATATTAATGCCTGACCATATTTTAGATCCCTTAATCCTACACCATACCTAAACTTAACAACTACCTTACTAACTATCAATAGGCAGCACATTAGGAGTTTATTGAAGCAGAAGTTGTAGTTAATAGTTAGTTAATTAATAGTGAGAATTGGATCCCAAACTAAAGTGTGACCATTAAAGGATACAACTTTTTATTTTAATAATGCATTAGTAAATGCTGAAATTAAATAACTAAGAAAAATGCATGCTTTAGAAGTATTTTTCATTGTTAGTTCATGATAACTAATGTAGTTAACTAATGTTAACGAATGGAACCTTATTGTAAAGTGTTACTGTAAAGAAATTAAGATTTTTATTAAAGCAAAGAATCAAAAGTGACAGTAGAGAAATGCATTTAGTACAAAAGACTTTTTGTTCATTTTTAGTCAAAGAATATTTAATATTTTAAAAAATATACAAAAATATATATTAATCAGATATGTTTCTTGAGCAGCAAATTAGCATATTAGAATGAAAAAATGTAAATAATCTTACCAACCCCAAATTTTTGAAAGGTAATGTATGTTCATGTGACACGTTTGCGTATGAATTAAATCAGTAAAGATACAGACAGATTAATGCGAGTCTGACCTGACTGAGACGATCCTCGTACAGCGCGGTGGTAAAGAGATTACGCAGCAAGGCCAGCTGTCCCTGAAAAAATAACAACACTGTATTTTGGGGCATTTTCACTTAGTGACTTATAGGATGTGAATCAATATTTTGCATTGTAGAAATCATTAATTTGTCACTAACGTCCGTTTAAAAAAGCACTCTGTCTTTCTCCAAATAGGCAAATTTGAGATCTGTTAATAACGTAGGTAACACTTTACAATAAGGTTCATTAGTTAACATGAACTAAGAATGAACAATACTTCTACAGCATTTATTAATCTTAGCTAATGTTAATTTCGACATTTACTATGCATTATTAAAATCAAAAGTTGTGCTTGTTAACATTAGTTAATGCACTGTGCATTAACACGAACGACTGTATTTTCATTAACATTAACAAAGACTGTAATACATGCATTGTTCATGTTAGTTAATACATTAACATTAACTAATGGAAACTTATAGTAAAGTGTTACCACAATGTACAAACAAATTAGAGTGTAGTGGAGTCAAAAGACTATAAATTTACCCGAAACTTCTCTCCCAACAATTTATGAGCTATTTCCTCCTCTTCGTTTGCTGTGCGACTACAGAAATGAGAGAACAACTTCTGCCAGCGTTCCTTATCTTGAGCCTGGAAAAACAATAAAAAAAACTCTTAGCAATTATTTCACATTTACTTATGGAAGCCACTGAATTAAAACATGAAAAAAGGTCATTGCAAATTATTTTTCTAGCAATTCTGACTTGCAATTGTGGGTTTACATCTCAAAATTATGAAAAAAAGGTCCGAATTTTAAGATAAAAAGTCAGTTACCTTTATTTATTTTTTTTATTCAATGGTGGAAACAATCTTCCATAATTACTAAAAATGTATTCATGTAAACAATCCTTTTAGACAATTATTTAGACCAATAAAAAGAAAATAACCTGCTTGATGGTGGCCACCATCCTTGCCATTATCATGATACTAGACGTTTCCGGAGGGTAGTGCACACTCCTGGATAAGATGCAAAAAATAAAATAAAATAAAAAAGAGTTTAACTCAAGAGTAGAGTCATACATTTCAAGGCCTTTGCACCAGCAGCCTTCAAACCAAAGCAATCTGCAAAACTTCTCTAATGTTCTGCATAGAGATGAAACTGATGCCAAAATGATCATCAATATTATCACGGTATTATTAAAATGTGCTAATGAAATCATATCACCTAATTTAATGTCGAAAACCAACAAACAATAAATATAATGAGCAGCGCTATGCACTTTTTGTTTGCATAAAACAATTAAAATTTGTTGCATGTTTCCGGGGGCGCGGTTTGTCTGGGTTTGTGATGTCACAAACCCCGGAAGTAACTCGTTGTAGTCCCTACAAGCCGTTTTTGTAGGCATTAACCTCCAGAATTTTAATAGGCGATATCTTCGTTTGCATTGAACTTTCAGCGCCGCAACTTTGCAGATATTGTTAATGCTCAAAAAGCAACTTTACACAACGTTAAAAAAAGTGAAATCGCAATCAACCACCCCTTTAAAAATGATGGTCGGATTTTAAACAAACAAAAAAATATTGGTTGGGTGACTTACAAGATAACGTTCCACATGTTCAAGTAAAGTTGACAAAAAAAAAAAAGTTTTATAAAATGATAATGATAATGTTTTTAGGAAAAGGATGAATCAAAATGATAAATTACAGGCATTTTATCTGCTCCATAAACAATTCTACATAGGCTACCTTATTATCCGAAGTGTTGAGATTTTTTGAATGCACATTAGTTTGTTTTCCATCTACATGTTAAGATTTACAACAAAAATGTGGTCCCATTTCCACACTGGTCTGAACACAAACGCAGACAGACTGAATGAAAATGTAACTCCACTGTCTGACAGCAGGTGGCGCTGATGGAACAGCAGAAATAGAGCGGTTTCCACGGTAACTGCTCTTAGTAACACTACATTAACAGGCGTTACAAGGAGGAAATATGAAAAGAAAATGCCATCCTAACTTTTCTGAAGACAGTAGGTTACCGCTTATGCATGCATGTGATTTCTCTCAGCACTCTGCCTTCCGTTATTCTTTCAAACAAAACCAAACCTTTGCTGCATGCTGCGCGAGACTCTTGCTAACTTTGCTTAGTCCGTTTAATCCCACATTTTTCCCAGACATGAAAATATCCAAATGATGTTTCATTAGTAACCCTTTGAAATAATCAAATAATTTTTTTGAAAAAACTTTGTAAAAGTGTGTGGAAAATTTTGTTTTATGGTCGGTGGGATAATGTGTATATTGAATTAACATATTTCTGCAGTAATTCATTTTTTTTATATATCTTAGCCCAGCTATTTTAAACTATTTTAGTTTGATCACATTCTACTATTATGCATAAAAACCCTTATACAACACCCACAGGATTCCTGGAATACTGAGATTAAAAAAAATATATAAAAAAATACAACCATCAACATATTTCAAAATTGTTATTTTGATCGCAACTGTTTGATCGCATTCTTGGGTTACTATTATGCATAAAAACCCGTATACAACACTGATAGGAATGCTGAGATCAAATACAACCATCAACGTGTTTCAAAATTGTTACTTTATTGTAACATATATCATAAAATTGTTATATTAGTGCTACCAGTATTACAACATCAATATTGTAACTTATTTCTGACATTTGAAGTATACCTGAATGCACTATTGTGACCATCAACATGTTTCCTCATTCTATGACCACACCACACTCAACAAAACAATATAATTGTGAATTCATATATTAATACTAGACACCTTAAAGATAACATGTAACATATCTTAATGTTAACATACTTTACTAACCTTTCGTTTTCAAGCTTTGATGCAGCCATCATCTTCTCATGATGCAAAAATCCTACTACTTGTTTCAGTTTTTATAACCATTTCTTACTATGTGTAAGTTGTTGTTTTTTAGCATGTGTGTTTGGCAGTGTTTTTTTTAGGATTACTGATAAACTACTGTCGTTTGATTTGTATTATTTGTATTTGTTATTTATTTTAATTTAAGTTAAATGATGTCTGAATTTATTATGTCTGTATAGGTCTTTTATTAAGTTTTTAGTTTTATTTAAAGTTATTTGAGTTATTTGAATACTTCAACAAACTAAATGGAAATGAAATAATATATATATATATTGAATTTATAAACGTGTATGTATATATATATATGTGTATGTGTACAAACGTACAAACAACATGTAGTTGTTTTTTTGGTGTTTGGCTTAGTGTTATGTTAGAATCATTATTATACTCATACCTTTTGTTCTTTAATATTTTGAATTGTTTTTAGCTTTATTTTTTGTTTTTCATTTACATGTTACGTTTTGAAAAATTTGTTGTATGCATTTGTCATTTTCATTTAATTTCTTTATTTTTAAAATGTGTATAAGTAGTATTTATAAAGTTTTAGCTTTTAGTTTTGGATCTGTTTTTAGTTGTTTTAATACTACAATTGATTGCTTCTGTTGTCCTCATTTGTAAGTCGCTTTGGATAAAAGCGTCTGCTAAATGATTAAATAAATAAAAAATAAAATAAATGCAAACAGGAAGTAACCTGCTCTGGTCATGTGACAATTTGCACTAACCACTGCACATATTTAATTGAGACCCTTTATTTTTTCCATATTTGCAGGAAATGCACTAAAACACCAGTCAGTAAGATTTTTACAGCTTTATAAATGAAAACCTTCTTAATCGGTGGGATTAAATGATTAGTATTTACCCAGAGTTTTTCAAATCGCGATAATCAAGCACTGTTTTAATGATAATTAAAATGTGATATGGTAATACTAACCGCCTGACTTTTTATCGTGGTTTATCGTCAAGCCGTTTCGTCCCTAGTTCTGCAGGACATTTTCAGTGCATGAGAGAGCATTTACCTCCACGCGTCCTGCAGCTTGTTGACTGGATGATCGGGATCGTGGTGAGACGGGCCGAGGCACAGGAGCTTGTGGTGCTGCTCCCATGCAGCCTGCCGGCACTCAGCGCTGCAGTACATCACCTGAAGAGAACAACACACACACAGTCACACACAGGGGTTTCCCCAAGCCTTCCATGGGAACTCAATCTGGGGGATTTTGGAAATATCCCAAGTTGGAAATTTAACAGGAATTTATGGGAATTCATTGGAAATTTGGGGAAATTTATAGAAACTATCATATATAATATATACAAAATATAAACATTTTGTTTGATCATAAGCTGACATGCGTATGGAAGCCCGTTTCCGCCACTGGAAAAAAAAATTAAAAAGGTAATTGCGAGTTATAAAGTCAGAATTGCAAGATAAAAACTCGCAATTCGGATTTTTTTCTCGCAATTCTGACTTTTTTTCTCGCAATTCTGACTTTTTTCACAGAATTGTGAGATATAAACTCGCAATTGCGAGTTAATGTTGAGGGGGGAAAAAAGACTGACATGTTCTCAGAATTGCGAGTTTATATCTCACAATTCTGAGAAAAAAAGTCAGAATTCTGAGAAAAAAAGTCAGAATTGCGAGAAAAAAAGTCAAAATTGTGAGTTTATATCTCGCAATTATGACTTTTTAACTCGCAATTGCGAGTTTATATCATGCAATTCTGAGAAAAAAAGTCAGAATTGTGAGATAAAAAGTCGCAATTACCTCTTTTATTTTTTATTCAGTGGCGGAAACGGGCTTCCATACATGCGTGCAAACTAATACAAATTTTAAAAATGACTTTTTTTTTTTGGAACCTGTGATACGTTTTTCAGGATTCGTTAATGAATAAAAATTTAAAAAGAACATCATTTATTCAAAATGGAAATCTTTTCTAACAATATAAGTCTTTACTATCACTTTTCATCATATTTTATAAAAATCGTTTTAAAAATTAAAATGTTTCATTTATTTCCAGAAACCATGATTTTAACCCAAAAGCCATTATTAAAAAGTAGATACTTTGTATGAAAAATGTGGTGTTAAATGTAATTGTGGTATGAAGATATTTCTACTAGGTTTTCACGAAAATGTAATATTTATCCATTTATATATTTATTTTTTTAATAATGAGACTTCTGTGAACTTTTTGAGCAATTATTGTGGATTGTTGACTAAGAGTTTTGAAATTGAAATGAGAATAGATGGAAATTATGGAATTATGGAACTATGTAAATAAATCGGTGGTATTAACATGGCACCTAATGATTAATATTTACATGTTTACATGTATCGCTCTTTTGTTGATTTTGATTGCTTCTATTGTCCTCATTTGTAAGTCGCTTTGGATAAAAGCATCTGCTAAATGACTAAATGTAAATGCAACTCTCAAATATGATACATCAGGCTTTTGAGGAACGTTTATTTATCTCTGAATAATCGTTGCATTATATGCGTTGCCCCCACAATAAAAACTACAGAGCCTTGACCATAAAACTAACCCTCTCAAAATCCTCTTACCAAGACATATTATTGGAGATATAGAGTTATGACTGATATTAACATGCGTTTTATGATATACTGTTATAAAGTCTTACTGATTTAAATTACAAGCATCAGAATTTCATCTTACTTTTTGGCCATATGAATATCAGCAATTGCACCAAATTGCAGATTTTCGCTCAGTTTGAGCCTCTGTGTTTTTTTCTTCCGCCAATATGAGCTGCATACTCTCACTATATCATATTATATGACCCATAAAAGGCTGATTTATCAAATATGATACAAAACATAAAACACACATACAAACTTTTTTGTATTTTGTCCAAATGTTGTTAAAAAAAAAAGATCCATAAGAAAAAAAAAAATTCTCTATATTTTGTTTTGAAGGTTCAAAAACAGTTCCATTTTAAAAAAAAAATCTGATTATTATTTCATATGTCAGGCTTTACAGGGTTATTAATATCACGTAGTCTTTTTTATTTCTTAATTGTTTTAATTCTCTTAATATCTACAAGAGCAAGAGTGTGCACACATTACATTCTGAACAACAGATATTAAGTGAAATTTCCATCATCAGTGAAATCGATCAACGGCCAACAACCAGATTATGAAGCAACACCTGAATCCAACACTAGATGAACATATCCTCATGTGTACCTGACAGTGTGGACAGGCCTGGTGTCGGTCCGGACGCACTTTACACAGCTCCGGATGAGGCAGACTGAGAGCCGGAAGACCGCTCAAGCGCCTGGCGTTCTCCTCCGCTGTCTCCAGAGCACGCAGACAGTACTCACACGCTGAACACGGGAGAATAAATACAGCATAAATGTATTTATGAATATGATAAATAACATAAATATATAATATACACCCCTTTACCTAAATTCATTACTTCAGAGTTACGTGCCTCTAGAAGCTTGTGTTCTGCAAGTGAACGTCGCATTATACCCTTTAAATGTTCCCTCCTGGTGGAATGACCTGCCCAACTCAATCCCAGCAGTCCCATCTTCAAGAATCGGCTAAAAACACATCTGTTCCATCTTCATTTGACCCTCTAACTCTAGCACTCTCTATTCTAATTCTATGAAGAAAAACACTTGACACTCTAGCAGTTGCACTCTCTACTTACTACTTGTTTTCTTTGTACAAAAATAAATAAATGACCATCTAACACTAGTATTCTTTTTCTATTGTTTTGACTTGTTTTATTTTTATTGAAAAAAGAGCCTATACCGCTAGAATTTTCTATTCTATTTCTATTCTATCTTCCTGTTTTCTTTTTATTTAATTAATTAATTAATTAATTAATTAATTAATTAATGAATGAATGAATTAATTAATTAATTAATTAATTAATTAATTAATGAATGAATGAATCGTTCTGAGTCGGATCTTTTGCCTGATGGACAATTAAAGAACAGCAGAATTACAAATTAAACATCACGGAAATATATAACTTGAATATGACAGTTATAAACAAACATACGGGCTGATTTTAATGAGTTGTGCTTTATTAAAACTATATTTAGGTTCTAAATTACTTTAGGCCTATATTTTTGGAGCTGAATCATGGCTGCAACAAGTTGAACCGGAATACATAAAATTACAATAAACACCCTTATTAACTCAATTTAAATTTGATTGGAATTTTTTAGAGCACGGACAGTGAAATTACGTAAAGACGTAACCTCTGAACAGAGCTGGTCAGATTACTTACAAAATGTAATCCGTTACTGACTACGTAAAATTGTAGTTAGTAACGTAATCCATTACATTACACATTTTTGGTAATATAATCAGACTACTTTTAGATTACTTTTAGATTACTTTTGACATAACTTGTTTGTCACATTGATTTAAATAGAATGAATTTAATGAAAAGCAAATAATTAATAAAGTCTTAAAAATTTAAAATTAAAATAAATAATTTTAAAACAACATCAATCAAAATAAAACACTTACTAAAAAAACTAAATATTTGACCTGCATCTCATGTGACCATTAATTAATAATTAATTTAGTTAATTAGAATTTAGTTAATTAGGTAAATTAGTAATTAACCAACTTCAGAGAACCGTGAACATGCAAATGTGAAGCTTAATAATTGTTTGTTTGTTTGTTTTTTCTCAAGGGTACTTAAAGTAAATATATTTGGTGAAAGAGGTTCAGATGACAAAAAAAAGTCTGGGAATGCCTGCATTACATGAAAATAAGAAATAACGTGAATTTGTGCATTTGAAAGACAAAAGCCTTACAAAGAAATAATAATACATGGTTAAATAACCCACTGAGCGATAATTCAAATACAAGATGAATGTGTTGATCAGTAGCTGATGCAATGTTGAAATACTAAGAAAACACTTAATTATAGCCACCTGACTAGTGACTGGAGTTAGGGAGATTCAATAAATTATACATAATTCATTGCCATTGTGTGAATAATATGTAATCAATAAAAAAGTAACTGTAGTCTGATTTTGAGTATTTTAAAATGTAATTTAATCTAATTACAAGTGCTTAATTTTTGGAATCTGATTACATAATCCAGATTACATGTAATCCGTAACTACCCAGCACTTTTGGTTCTTTGAAAAAAAAAAAAAAAAAGGTTCTTTGAACTAATTGTTTGAAAGAACCGACTCGCGAAAAAGAGTCAGTTACGTCACTGCTGGTAGCCAATCAACGATCAGCTCCCTCTCGGAAGCCAATCAGCACTCAGTCCACTCTCTTGAATTCTCTACTACAGCGGGACGTGTGTTTTCGTAGGTAGGGTGAGGAAATTCCCAAAAAGTTTAATAAAGGGTGCGTCTAACTGACCAGCCGTTACTGGATAACAAGATACTGCATGCGTAAACTTTTTAGCTTTGATGCGGAATTGACAGGTCTTGTTGGAAAATGCTGTTGACGGAAGTGAAAAGGCTGAAAGTGGCCGAGTTCTGTTCTGTGTCAGCTGCGTCACACGGATACGCTGTTTTCGTTCAGATCAAATCACAACAACGTAGAAAAAGATCCGGTGTTGTGCCCATTTTCGACCCCTGCCAAATTATTACCCCCTCTCGTTGAAATCGCTACCTGATTGCCTAATCCTAACCCCACCCCTAACCCTAACCCCTCCCCCACACCTACTCCTAAACCTACCAATACTAGGGGGTGCATAATCTGGCAGGGTGCAAATTTCGGCACTACACCGTTGATGAACGTGTCAGAAGCGGAGATGAAGGGGGAAACGTAAGCAAAGCGACGAGTATAGAGTATAGAGTCTCACTCCACGGAATCTGAGCAGCAGTGTGTTCGGACGCAGTCTGCAGTACACACTAGTCCTCCTAAAAAGAGCATGAACGCGTTTACTGTACTTAGATGTGGACAACAGCATCCCGTCGCCGTGGCAACCGTTGCTACGGAGGATGCAGAGTCAGGATGCTCATCATCAGTCTTAGCCATTTCAGAGCCAGAAGCACCACGGCAGCAAGACCAGTGTAACACATCCTTAGTGCACAATTAAAATAGTGCTGCTTTGCTGTTCATATAATACAATTAAAGCGAGATGAGAAAACGATGGTCGGTTCCTCCTGCAGTACTCCTTAGGCTGTCAGATGGACCTGAGACGGTGGACTCCAGCCCAGAGGAAAGCAGGGAACTGAAGAGGCCTCATGAGGAGAGAGGCAGAGATTATTACGAGTTCAAAGAAGACATTCATTACAATAGGTATTGATTATCGATCTGTAGAAACTGCAAGAGCTTGTACTACAAGGTATTTTGAAGAACATATAATTTACACTTTTTTTTTTTTAGAAGGAAATTGCTTATGCTCACCAAGACTGCATTTCTTTGTAAAATTCCGAAATATTATTGCAATTTAAGAGAGCTGTTTTCTATTTGAATATATTTAGAAATATTATTCATTCCTGTGATGCAAAGCTGATTTTTCAGCATTGTTGCTCCAGTTTTGAGTGTCACACGATCTTTCAGAAGTCATTCTGCTGTTCGAGAAACATTTCTGATTATTATCAGTTTTAAAATTGATCTTTGATTAATAAAAAGGTCAAAACAGCATTTATTTGAAATATAAATATTCTGTAAACAGTGCTGGGTAGTAACGGATTACATGTAATCTGGATTACGTAATCAGATTGCAAAAATTAAGTAATTGTAATTAGATTATATTACAGTTACTTTACTCTTTGTTGTTTGTTTTTTATCAGTTTGGTATAATCTCAATGAATGAATGAATCGTTCTAGTGAATGAATGAATGCATGAATCGTTCTAGTGAACGATTATCTGAATGATAATCGTTCACTAGAACGATAATCGATATTATCTGAACGATAATCAGATTGCAAAAATTAAGTAATTGTAATTAGATTATATTACAGTTACTTTACTCTTTGTTGTTTGTTTTTTATCAGTTTGGTATAATCTCATGCAAGTCTATGTGATAAACAAGTTAAGTGAAAAGTAATCAGAAAGTGGTCAGACTACATTACCTAATGTGTAATCCAGATTGTTTCTAACTACAATTCTCTCATGTAATTTGTAATCGGTAACAGACTACTATTTCTAACTTTCTTTCTCTGATTTGTTTTTCCTCAGAGCTGCCCGAGAAAGAAGCTCAAATAGATTTTGAGGATGTTCGACTGGATTCCTGTAAATTCATCAAGATCCAATGCATACTCAGATACGGAGTCATTTGATTCAAGATGAAAGCTTAAGGAAAGCCTGTCCTCAGAAACACTGTGTTTTACAGATAACTGTGACCTGCATTTTGAGACGGACTCTGATGGAAGCAAGCGGTCAGCTACTCTTCTGGGAGAAATTCCCTCTTCTTTGGTCAGGGTGCAGGATGAGCCATGGATTTTGTCAAGGGAAGATCGGATTCGAAGCCAAGCTGTGAACTTGAGGTTTGAGTCCGGTAAATGTTTTGTACAGCAACAAAAGTGATTAATTAAATGGCACCTTTGGTGAATTATTATTCCTTTTTTGGGTCTCTCCAGTTTGTGAAGCGACTGTCAGCACCTGTATTAGACACCAGCTGTGACCCGGATCTCTATGTGCTCAGAGTGGGCTGGTCTGTGGACAACACGAGCCTGATGGACGGACTGGAGTGGTGTGGATTATTGTGATGTTTTCATCAGCTGTTTGGACTCTCATTCTGACGGCACCCATTCACTGCAGAGCATCCATTGCTGAGACACTGATGCAATGCTACATTTCTCCAAATCTGATGAAGATCAAACTCATCCTGATCTTAGACGGCCTGGGGGTGAGCACATTTTCAGCAAATATTCATTTTTGGGTCAACTGCTCCTTTTAATTGCATTCAGGTTCATTACTAATTTATATCTATTCCCTATCCAGTTCATCAGCGAGACAGGAGAAGCGACGCTCTCTTGAAGTGGCGTTTCACCTGAACTCCTCTACTTAGACAATTCATTAACAATTCAGTGAATTCACAAGTCTGGCTCAAAATGAGTCGAGAACGGGAGATTCTCGGAGCTTGAGCACGCGCGAAAAATAAGCCGAATTTTAGGATTTATTATTGTAAATGAAAACCATATTTAGGTCCCAACTGTCAGTTGTTTGTGAACTAAATCTGCTGTAAAAGGCGAGTTGTTTAAGCCCACTGTATGAAATGCTTGAATGCGAACATGTCCATATGTGTGTATTCCCGTCTCAACAGGGTAGGTTTTAGGTAAAAAATGAAACGTAACATTAAAATATTTAATGTTTTTATAGTGTACGACAAGCCTCCCTCCCCCAGATATTCTGAGCAGTATAGAGTGATATAAAACATATAATATGAAGTTGTTTAATATAAGTTAA